TTAGTGCTTCTGTTCCATTTCCTAGTTCATTGTGCAGTGCCTGGGGTCTTAAAAGCTTGCAAGCAGCCATCTAAGATACAACAATTGGTCTCTATTTGCCTTTAGCAACAGAGAAAAAAGGAGAGTCAGGAATAGGAAGAGGAAATGGATTGTGGCTAATTGTCTCCATGAACAACTGCCTCCTTTGCCATGAGACCGGAAGAAGCGGATGGTGCCCAGCTACCATTACTAAACATTTTGATTAAAGATTCTATAGAAGAATCCTGATCAAAAGGGGGAAAATGTAGAATAAAATTTCATATTCTCATGGCCTCTAGATTTTCTGGAGTCATGGAGGTGGATGAATCCCCAAAACTACTGCCCTGAGGTAATCTTTAAGCCTTAAACCAAAAATATCCCGACTTCTTCTTAAAACCAAACAAGAGTTTAGCTTAACTAGTAAAGAATGTCTGCCTTGAGCATTATGCTTTTTTAAGATTTATCAATATGGGATTAAGTTGACAAGAACATCTCGGAAAATTGGATAGGAACCTCATGTGGCAGTGAGTTTATATTAAAGAGGGAGGAACAACCCAGAAAAGGTGAGAATGGATGCGAAACTCAAAAAATGTAATCAACGTCACTGAATTGTACATACAGAAACTGTTGCATTGGTTTATGTTTTGCTGTCTATATTCTCAACAACAATAAAATGTGACAAATTATAAAAAATAAAATAAAATCCAAGCACTATAAGAGTAAAAAAAAAAAAAAAGAATCAGTGAGACCAGAAAGCAAATAATTCAATTAAAAAAAAAAGTTTTGTAACTATTTTTTGTTTTTAAATATTTCATTCATTGGACATATTTTGCTATTGTTCTTAAAACTGCAACTGGAATAGTTTTATGTTATGTATTAAATCCACAGAAACTTAGGCAGCTCCAAAAAGCATATATCAAGAAATTCTGCTGAACATTATTCTAAGGCTTATATAAACACGGTGTGCCTGTAAATTTGTGTAACACCTCACATGTGAAAATAAGATTTTTAAAGCCATTACTAGAAGGATAAAAATGACCACCCTTCCTATTTTACCTTTCTAATCTAACAGAGGCAATTGAGAAAACAACTTCCACATTTAGAACCCATGATGTAATACCCATTCAGAGTACTGAGGTTGTCCTACCAGGCCACACTGCCATTTGAATCAATTGTTCCAAGAATGTTACAATGAGTGGTTGTCTCATCTTTAGAGACACTGTGTCTACCATACCCATACCCATTGTCCTCAAGTTAATTCCGACTCATAGAGACCCAACAGGACAGAACAGAACCGCCCATAGGGTTTCCATGGAGCTGCTGGCGGACTCAAACTGTCGACCTTTTGGTTAGAAGCCGTAGCTCTTAACCACTGCACCATGAGGGCTCCTTATAGCCAGGTAATTTTAAGTCTCGCTTATTACGCATTCCCCATATAATGATTTGACTTTTTCATTGCTGAATTCAATGTGCAAACTGTAAGACTTTTGGGAGCCTCTGTATACTCCAGAAGGTCTTCGGGTGGTGCAAACAGTTTATGCATGACTAATAACCTAAAGGTTGGTGGTTCGAACCCACCCAGTGGTGCTGTGGAAAAAAGGCAATCTGCTTCTGTAACTATTACAGCCAAGAAAACTCTGTGGAGCACAGTTCTACTCTGTAACACGTGAGGTTGTCGTGAGTTGAAATCGACTTGACGGCAATGGATTTGGCAACACTCCAGAGACTCTGGCTTCAATACAAGGGTGATAGTTGCACTGTGATAACCTTCAATTCAGATGGCCAAATCTCTGCATATACACATACCTTTTCCTGCAGCTTCTTTTTAAAATTCTCATCTTGAGCTTTAAGTAAGATCTTGGGGTCAACTAAAGGTTCATCTGCTCTTTGCTTTTTCCACAACTTGGTGTTCAGATACCATGCTCCATACCTTATCTTCACCCACTCTGGTTTATAAGGATTCTATAGGAAATAACATAATTCTCAGCATCATTAGTTCTTTTGGTTTACCATTTCGATAAATCTAACATTTAGCTTAAGAAAGCGGTATCATTACTTTGAATTTATGGTTGGTCCTTGCCAAGGTATTTTATGAAATTTCAATATGTGCTTATTTACAAAGGTAACACTAAAAATTTATGATTGAGAAAATAATGTAGTGGTCATGAGTATGGCCTTTGGATTTAGACAAAATCTGGGTTCAAATCGAGACTCTCCCAGTTAGTAGCTGAGACAAGTTACTTAATTCTCCATCCTTAAAATGGAGATACTTATACTATCCATTCCATAGAGTTGTTGTGAAGATTAAAGGAGAGAATTAAATAAAGGAGCTAGAAATCATACAAAAATCACATATTTACCCAAGGGTAATGACGTCAAGTAAGACTCAATCAACCAAAGTAACAAGTTATTAGACTTAGTACTGTGAGCAGCCTTGTAAATGCTACACTACTTTTGATTAAAATGCTATTCCAACACCAACCTCTTATCCCTTCAATTTGAAGAGAGAAAAAGGACGAAGAATAGAACACACTTCTTTTTTTCTCTCATTCCTCAGTAGTACAGCAAGGATATCAAGAGAATCTCTTGTTGGTTCATAGTCTGTTACTGTGGGTGCAATGCCCACATAATGTCTCATCAAAAAATGGGGTCTAACTCTTGGGTGGGGCAAAGAAACATGAAACCACAAAGACTCTGCCCCTTTCTCCTCTCACCCCAATGTAAACTATGTAGTGGTACCTGTGATACATTCTGGAGTCCAGCCAGATACACTTATCTAAAACCGAGACAATGGGACAAAGTACATAGGAGAGAAATCCCTTCTCAGAGTTGGATCTAGCATTGTGATCCCTCCACTCCAAGCATATTGACCTCCTTGCTATTTCTAAGGCACATTCACTCTGCTTCTGCCTCACTGCCTTTGCACTCACTGTTTTGCCACAATGTTCTTCCCTCACATAGCTACTTTTTTAATTCCTTCATGTCACCTTTTCAGTAGTAGCTTCCCTGACCACTCAAATTTAAAATTGTAACCCCCTCACAACACAGCTTGTCTTCCTTCCTTGTCTCATTTTTCTTAACATTTATCATTTGATACGCTTATATTTTTCTGATTGTCCTTCCTCTCACTCTTTAAAATATAAGCTTCAGGAGGTAAAGATTTTTGTCTGCTTTGTTCCGCCCTATATCCGCCTGGTATCTAGGACATAATCAGTGCTCAATAAATATTTGCTGAATTAAAGCTAGGTTTCTTAATCTTAGGTCCCTGGGTGGCACAAATGGTTTGCGCCCGTCAACTAACTGAAAGGTCAGCAGTTTGAACCTACCCAGCTGTGCCATGGAAGGCTGGTGATAAGCTTCCATAAATATTACAGCCAAGAAAACCCTGTGGATCTCAGTTCTGCCCTGTAACACTTGGAGTTGCCATGAGCTGGAATTGACTCAGTGGCAACGGGTTTGGTTTGGTTTGGTTTTTCTTAACCTTGGCACTACTGAAATTTCAAACTGCTAATCTTTTGGTTAGTGGCCATAGCTCTTAACCACTACACCACCACAAGGGCTCCACTGAAATTTTGGGCTGGCTAATTCTTTGTTTTGGGGCTGTCCTGTGCACTGTAAGACGTTTAGCAGCATTCCTAGCCTCTACTCACTAGATGCCATTTGCATCCCCCCTGCCCTAGTTGTGACAACAAATAATGTTCCCACATATTGCCAAATATATCCTGGAGGGCAAAACCACACCTAGTTGAGAACCACTGAATTAAAGGAAGAAGGAAAAGAAAGGGAGTAAAAAAGAAAAGGAGGAGAGATGGAGTAGAATGGCATCTACACTATGGCCCTACTGAAGAACTTGAGTTCTGGAATATGTTATGCTGTTGTATAACTAGTGATCTTTCAAGACCCAGTACAAACATAATTTCTTCTGTGAAGATTTTACTGAACCCACCCTCACCCCAATGTTTGGTGCAATTGATTACTTCTCCCTATGTCCTGTATACACCATGACATCATTTCATTATAGTTAATAATTCACCTGTTGACCCCACTAGACTGTAAGATCCTTAAGGATAGGAAACTCTCCTTCATTTTTGTGTTCCAATCTCCCAGCACTTTTTGACACATAGTAGAAGATACTCAGAAGTATTTGCTGAATAAATGCATAAATAAATGGATGAACGAATACACAGAGCAAGAGGAAATATGCTACAATTGAGGCACAGAATACAATGAGAGATCAGAGGTAGGAATAAATTAATGCCAAACAAAGGGTCTGAAAAAATACTCCATAGAACAATTGGCACATGAAATATAAACATGTGGACACAGGAAAGAAGGGCACTTCAGCAGAGAGAATAATATGAGCAAAGCTAAGGTAGTGGGAAAGTACAGAGTTCTGAAGAACATCAAAGAACAGTGTGTAGCAGGCCTGAGAGTAAGTGAAGTGAAAAAATAAAGAAGGGGACTTCCACTTCTGGCATAGGGACCAGATTTACCCTCCCGCCTGCAACAACAACAACAAAACCATAAAACATATATGAAACAAAGGTTTGCAAGACATTGAAAATCAGGCAACAAAGGACAGTGATCCCTGAGAGATGAGAAACAAACAAGATATGTCACACAATTGCCCCAGCCCACTGCCTTGAGAGAGTTTCCAGACCATGGTACAGGGAGGAGGAACCCAGGAGACCAGTGGGTTCTCTGAATTGAGGAGACATTGCTGAGAGCTCAGGGAGACCGAGGAAGCTAGATTTCACAGCACTGGATACCAGAAAGGGGAGAGTTGCATAGAGAACTCCAGACATTTACAGAGGGTCCCCTCAAATATTCAGCAGGGAAAGAACCAACTGAAAGGACTACAAGGAGCAGTACCAGTGCTTACATAGGGCCAGGAACAGTGCATATTCCCACCTGGAACACCTAAAGACTCACAGGGTACTGGTAGAGTACACAGAAGGTCTTGTCTTAGTAGCGGGGAATAATTACTCCTAGATTGAGCATCTTAGGTTCCACCCAACAAATCTTAAAAGTAATACCCAAAAGTATTGAATTGTTTCCACATCACTTGACTGCATTCCAGAAAAAAGGCTCAAGAGTATTTATGGAAATAAAAAAATACCAGCACCCAACAAGGTAAAATTCACAATGTATAGAATCCACTCAAAGATCACCAGGCATGCAGAGAGGAAGGAAAACATGACCCATAATGAGGAAATAAACCCAAAACTGATATAGCTGTTAGAATTAGTAGACAAGGACACTAAAGCATTTATTGTAACTGCATTCCATATGTTTAAAAGATTAAGTAGAAATACAGAAAATATAAAAAAAGACTCAAACTTCTAGAGATGAAAATTATGTTTGAGATGAAAAATACACTAGATGGGATTAACGGCACATTAGACACCGCAGGAAAAAAGATTAGAGAACTTAAAGGCATTGCAACAGAAACTCAGAGAGAAAAGAGAATAAAAAATTGAACAGAGCTGCACTGAGCTGTGGGACAACTTCAAGCAGGCTAATATACATGTAATGAGAGTCCCAGAAGGTGGGGTAATGAGAGACAAACATATTTGAAGAAATAATGGCCAAAAATTGTTCAAATTTGATGAAAATCATAAGCCCACAGTCTGAAGAAGCTCAACAAACTCCCAACACCAGAAACGTGAAGAAATCTGTCTAAGGCACACTATACCCAAACTGCCCCAAATCAGTGACAAACAGAAAATCTTAAAGGGCAGCCAAAAAGAAAAAAAAAACACATTATGTTCAGAAAAAACAAAGATAAGGATGACATAAGATTTGTCATCAGAAACAATGTAAGCAAGAAGACAGTGGAGTAACATTTCTGCAGTACTAAAATTAAAAAACAAAACAAGAAACAGTACACCTAGGATCCACAAAAATATCTTCTAAACATGAAGACAGAATAAGGATGTTTTCAGATAGTCAAAACCTGGAAGAATTTATTACTGGTAGATTCACACTATAAGAAATGTGAAAGGAAGTTCTTCAGGCAGAAAGAAAATACCATGTAGAAATATATTTTGAACTTTTGCATACTGATCTTCTGTCTGCCAGTCAAAAGTTCAATTTTGGCAATAACCACCATGGTTTATCCAGCAACATTTGCGCAATTATTTGTAAGTACAAGGAACTGAGCAATTTGATTCAGCCCAGATTCAGAACAAGCAGTGGTTTAGGCCTCAGGTGTGATGAACATAATTTGCCTGTCTAGCAGCATTTTCCATTTTACCCTTAGAAAGATGGGAGGAAAATGGAAAAATTACAGTGCTGATATCAATGATGGAATGCATAGTTTTCATAAACCTTATAAAAGAGTCAAAGAAGGAAAACATAATACATATCAAAAGTCAATTGTGTTCAATTATAACTGAATTTTAATTTTTATGAATTTTAATTAATATGTCCTAAATACTGGAAATATAGTATCAAAGATTATACATAAAGGCATGAGGTAATCAGAGATAATATGCTGTTTTTCAGAGAAAGGAACTCCCTACCACCAACACCCTCCCTTCTACTTAGGCACTTAAGTCTGTTGTTAGACTTATACTATTTGACTTGTGTGTGTGTGTGTGTGTGTGTGCATGTGTGTGTGTGTGTGGAGCCTTGGTGGCACAGTGGTTGAGAGCTACAGATATATATACTTTTTTCCCACCACCCTTCTGTGTCAGTTTGTCGTACTGTGGTAATTTGTGTATTGCTATGATGCAGGGAGCTACTATGCCACTGGTATTTCAAACGCCAGCAGGGTCACCCGTGGTGGATAGGGTTCAGCAGAACTTCCAGAATAAGATGGACTAGGAAGAAAGGTCTGACAATCTACTTCTGAAAATCAGCCAATGAAAACCCTATGGATCACAACAGAATACTGTCCAATATAATGCTGGAAGATGAGCCCCCTAGTGGCCTCGAGCATATTAAGGATCATGAAGATAGTGCAGGACTGGGCAATGTTTTTGTTCTGTTGTACATGGTATCACCATGAGTTGAAGCTGACTTCATGGCAACTAATAACAACATAACATATGTGTGTGTATAAATATATATACATATACATATATATATATGTATATATATACATATATATACATATATATACATATATATACATATACATATATATATACATATATATATATATACACATACACATATTTGCAGTAACACATGTGTAAAAAAGTCCTGTAGGGGCCCATTGGAACACAGCATGTTATTTCTCCTTTCTGTTACCTTGTTCTTCCATTTTCACAGCAGTTCATTACTGAGGAAACTGAGTAATCTGTTACTGATCAGGTAAAAAAAGCATACAGTCAAGAATGAGGGCTTGTTGTCAATGAGACTCCTGTAAAAATTTCAGAATTCTATTTTAAAAGGCTAGTACCAGAATTCAAGAAAATATTAATTTTCTTTGAGTTCTGGACTTTTCCCCTTCTGCAATTACCTGTGGTTTCTGGAGTTGCCTCTTGAAGTCTAGTTCCTGGAAGGAGAAATCTAGCTCCTGTGGTTTATTTAGCCCCACATGAGACTTCAGCTCCAGAGGAACTTGGTTTAGTCTCGTTGTGTGAAGTACATCATAGTTTGGTTTGTTGTCATAGTCAATGTCAAACTGTTTCAGGATGAATTCTTCATCAATGGTTGAACTTCCCTGGAATAATATCACATCTTATGAGTCAAAGTCAAATGGTGACATGCTCCTTGCTTTCTGCTTTAATCTAAGGGCACTATCTGACCATTGCTAAAGTAGCAGTAGTTTGGAGGAGATGCAGAAAATGTTCAGCTGGCATTTATTAGAGACAAGAGGTATCTGGGGTCTGGAGGGCCTTGTCAGTGCATCATGAGACAGCTTAGGACCTGCAAGGAGCAGTGAGTCCCTGAGGGAAATAATGGGGCCGAGGAAAACTCAGTTTGTTTGATTAAAAACAAACTTCTCCAACATTTTATAGCAGTGACATTCTTAGAGGTGTTTTCCATACATGTCTAGATATGTCAGTGTCTGCCCTGTCCCTTATAAGCGACACTGTCCTGTGCACGGCTCCTGCTGAAGGAGGCAGCTATAGTCAGCCATATTTCACACACAGAACAGTTCTCTCCCCTTGCTTCCCCCAGCCACAGCTGACAGGAGTAGAGATGGATTCATGACGGGCAGCTAAACCAGGGGCTGAGCACTGACCTATGATGTGGCTCAATACTAAAAGATAAGTTAGGCTCAACAGAATCCCAGCTTGGGAAATATAAATTGGGAAGCACAGAGAGAAAAAGGTCCTTAGCAGCCTGGAGCTGAAGGTGGGTGAAATTTATGGAGAGGAGCCCTGAAATAGAATCAGGGTGGTAAAGTGAGGAGTAGAGTCAAAACTAAGCTGAAATAGAAATAGAGCAAGTGGAATCAATAAGGTGAAAAATACATAAATCAACAGCATAGAAGTATAAACTAATGCTGTTGAGAAAATAGCACAGGTTGATTGTGACAGGGACCTAGGTAGTAGAACTGAGGTAAAGATAAGGCCTTGGTCATAAGGAATGAAAATAAGGCCAGTTAGCAAAGTAGTTAAACTACTAGCCTCCAAAAAACCAAAAACCAAACCTGTTGCTGTTGAGTCAATTCTGAATCATGGTGACCCCATGTGTTACAGAGTAGAACTGCGCTCCATAGGTTTTCTTGGCTGTAATCTTTACAGAAGCAGATTGCCAGGCCTTCCTTCCACAGTGCCACTGGGTGGGTTTGAACTGCCAACCTTTCGGTTAGCAGCCAAGCACAAACCATTTGCCTCACCCAGGGACCTATTACTAGCCTAGGGTTCCTTAAATCTCCTGCCTAACAGAGGAGTAGCTCAAGCCACAGGAATGGGAGAAATGGAAGGGATGGGAATTAAGCAATTCAATCTAGCCAGATTATGAATAAGCAGGGTTCCATCTCCAGGCATAGTGGGTATCATCTGCCTTGTCCAGCATCCCTACTCCAATCTTCCTCTAGGGAACCTCCTGTACCCATTCTCAGTCAATCTGTTGTAGCTGAGGCTGAAACCCCATGCCCCATCTCCCCACCTTGGATCCAGGGTAAGACCCTGGCCTAATCAATCAGCATATCCCACCTCCCTAGTCACAGTGATTAATTCAAGCATAGACATGTGACTCTAGTTAGTCCAGTGAAAGTAAGCCCTGGACTTTTCCCTATAGGAAAAGGGTTGCTCTATTCGCACTAAGGTTGCTCACTAGTAGGATATAAGCTTGGAGATTTTACTTCTGGCATGTCCTGAGGAAAGGCTACTTGAGAATAAAGTAGTCAGGCAGAGGACAGCAGCTAAGAGATATGGAGAACACCTAAAACCATTTCAACACCTGGATCCAGCTGTGCCTGAAGGTCCTAATACTTCTGGATGATTCCCTTTTCTCCCTTAAGCTAGTCTGAATTGCATTTCAGTCACTTGCCAATGTCCTAAATAATACATTGGCTAAAACTGACTAATACACTCAAAAACTGAGGAATTGGGGAGATACAAATACTAGGAGGTCTTATATCCAGGAAAAGAATCAGGAATCTAGACATCTACAGGAACCAAAGAACAGGACTAGGTAACTGAACAGATTCTTGGAAGGAAAACAAGGAAAGACCTTGATAGCTGAGTCAAAAGTTGCTTCATTTTAGAAATACTTTTTGGAAAGGCTGAAGTCAAGTATAGCTATCCAAGTATCTGTAAGCAAAGATAACTGAGAAGAATGAGTTGATGAAGAAGTGAAGGACAGAGAGAAAAGAAGGTCTTGACACTGAAAATAAGAATATGAAGCAACAGTAATGAGGTATTAAACATTCAAATTGGCTGCCAGCTTGCAAATTTTCTAGAAATTTCATCTACCAAAAACATTTCTATGTATAAATTGTGGGAGAGAATGATTCCTTTATAACTTTGATGATTTGACTTAGATTTTATCCAAACACTGTTTTTTTAATAAAAGCAACTTTGAGCTTGACTTTTAAAAGTAGGTTGAAGTGTTAATCCTAGCTTACAAGAGTAGCAACCCAGTTGCAGAAGTCACCAACTCCTTTGCGTATGTTTTCATGAAGAAGAGGACCATGGAGCAAATCTGTTTCACTTGGCTTCTTTTCTTTATAAATCCATTGGCCTGAATGTGACACAGGAGGCTTCTTAGGACTAAAAATAACCAAAGAATTACAATATGAGGCAAAATGAATCCAAGTGAAATTCAAACAGTTAGTATAGTGAGGAAAAGTGGGCATTAAAGCAAGTATTTCTCACAGTCTCTTGCAAGCCCACACAAATTATATTTTAATTTTTCAAAGATCACACTCTTATTATCAATATCATAAAGACAATTCTAGCCTTATTAGTTACAACAAAATAGCATTTTACCATTATAAGTTGCTTTTTAAAATTCTGTTGTTGTTAGTTGCCACTGAGTCTGCTCCAACTCATGGCGACCTTATGTATAAGTGAAAGAAATGTTGCCTGGTCCTGCGCCATCATCACACTTATTGCTATGTTTGAGCCCATTGTTGCAGCTGTTGTGTCAATCCATTTCACTGAGGGTTTCCCTCATGTTCGCTGACCTTCCACTTTACCAAACATGTTCTTTTCCAGATTTTAAGAATTATAAGTATCATTTATTAAGATGTGTTCCAGGTAAAAGCCCATATTACTGTGCTTAATAATTAAAGTTCAGCAAAGCTGGTAAAGCCATATTCCAAGACTCAGACAATCTCAACAAGTAAGAGAGACATCCTTGACCTCTCTCTCTCCTCCCTAAAATCCAGCCCATTATCAAATCCGGTAGATTTTAACTTTGTTTTCTCTGGATCACTGCACTGGTGTCTCTGGATCTTCTCTTACAGTTCACCAACCCCTAATCCCCAGTTCATTCTCTACCCTGCAGCCAAAGCGGTCATTTCAACATGTAAATCTGGATGTATCAAACACAGTCATCCTGTACCCTCAATTGATTAAGCCTCTTTAATAACTCCTTTTTTTAAAATTGAGGTATAATTCACATAGTACAAAATTCACTCTTTGAAAGTGTACAATTCAATGGTTTTCAGTATGTTCATAAAGTTGTGCAACCATCACTATTATCTTATTCCAGAATGTCTTCATTACCCCCAAAAGAAACCCATACTCATTAGCAGTCCCTTCCGGTTCTCCCCTCTCCCAGCCCTGGCAACTACTGCCTCTGGATTTACCTATTCTGGACATTTCATATAAAAGAAATCATATAATATGTGGTCTTTTGTGTCTAGCTCCTTCACTTTGCATAATATTTTTGAGGTTCACCCATGCTGCAGCATGTATCAGTACTTCAATCTTTTTATGGCTGAATAATGTTTCATTGTATGAATATACTACAGTTTGTTTATCCATTCATATGTTCATGGACACCTTCATGGAATGTAGGATGCTTCCACTTTTTGGTTATTGTGAATAATGCTGCCATGAACATCTGTATACAATTTTTTATGTTCAATAGCTTCTTGTTACTCCTCCAATAAAGACCTAAATCTTAACTTCCAAGGCCCTTTATGACCTGGTCTCTGCCTGTCTCTCTAGGTTCTTCTGGAACTACTACCCTCCCTCACTCCGAGCTCCAGCCACAGTGGCTTTCTCTCAGTTCCATGAATTCGTCATACTCCCTCCTGCCACAGGGCCTTTGCCCATACTGTTCCACCTGACTGGAATGTCTTCTCCATTCCTTATCCTCCTTTTTGTCTCACTATACAAGTCCCTTCCACAGGGAGGCCATCCCACAGGCTCTTTTCTCTGAGTATCCTGTAGCATTTATTCAAAGCATTCATCTAGCCATTCATCCCACAAATATTTATTTAGCACCAACTAAGTCTCACGCACTGTTCTAGGCATTAATATTGAGCTGTAAATAAAGTTAAGTCCCTATCCTCATACAGTTTACAATCAAGTAGGGAGAAACAGATAGAAAAGAAGTAAACAGACATACATGAGGTGATTATAAGAGCTATCAAGAAAAATAAAATGGGACAAGAAGGATGGAGAGTGATGGTAGAGGGCATTTTAGTGGTACAGGGGAGGCCTCTCTAATAAAATAATGTTTTAGCAAAGACCCAAAAGAAGAAAGGGATAAAACCATGCAGCTATCTGGTAGAAGAGCATTCTAGGCAGAAAAGAATAGCATGTGCAAAGGCCCTAAGGTGGGAGTGTGCTTAGCAGGTTTGAGGACAGCAAGGAGGCCAGTGTGCCTGAAGAGGAGTGATGAAGGGGCAGAGCAGTAGAGGATGAGGCCTGAGAGGTAACAGGGACCCAATCATATGGGACCTCAGAGACAACTGTAAGGACTTTGGGTTCTACTATTAATAACTTAGTAAGCAATTAGAGAATTTTGAGCACAGGAATGACACTACCTAACTTAAGTTTTAAAAATTATCATTCTGGCTACTGTGTGACAAATAGACTTGGAGAAAGTGGGCATGGATAAAAGCCATGAGATCAGTTAGGAAACTATTGTATTAAACCAGGCAAGAGATTACAGTATCTCGGAGTAGACTGGTAATCGTAGAAAAGGTAAGACTTTGGATATATTTCAAACCTAAAACAATGAGGATTTGTTGGAAGGATGTAACTGCTGTTGTAGAAGCAAACAGAAGAACAGAGTTGCTATTTACTGAGCTAGGGAAGGCAGAAAGAGGAATAGGTTTTGGGAAGAAATCAAGAGTTCAATTTTGGAGTTAAGTCTAAGATGACAATTACACATCCAACTGCAAACGCTGACTATATATAGTTGGACTGGATGAAGTCACTCAGATGTGAGTATACATGCAGAAAAGAAGCACTAAAGTACTTCAAGATTGAAAATCAGGAAGATGAGGAGTGACCTGCAAAAGAAGGCAGAGAAGAGGTACATAAAGTAGGTGGGAAACCAAGAAAGAGGAATGTTCCAGATGTCCACGAAGAAAGTGATTTGAGAAAGAGGATAACATTAATTGTTTCAGTTGCTACTAATCCATCAAGTATGGAGATTACTGAGAAGCTATGTTAACAGGAGGTCAGTGGTGACCTCGACCAAGGGCAGGTTCAGTAGGGTGCTGGAGATAAGAGCTTGACTGCTGTGAGTTCAAGAGAGAACAGAACAGGACGCGAGTATATATGCCTCTCTCAAATTTTTCTCTAAAGAAAGGAAGGGACTATGTGATCAATCAAGGGATGTTGTTTTAAAGATGGAAGATACTATCACATGCATGTATGCTGTGGTAAGGTGATAATGGTCCCCAAAGATATGAAGTCCTAATCCCGGGACCTGTGAATGTTACCTTATTTGGAAAAAGGGTCTTTGCAGATGTGATTAAGGATCTTGAAATGGGGAGATTATCCTGGATTATCTGGGTGGGCCCTAAATGCTATCATAAACTGTCGCTATGAGTTGCCATCGAATGATTCTGACTCATAGCGACCCCATTCCACAAGTGTCCTTATAAAACAAAAACAAAAACAGTAGAAGGTGGCTTGACACACACAAAGAGGGGAAGGTTAAAAGACCTATACAAAGAAAACTACAAGACACTACTGCAAGAAACCAAAAGAGACCTACGTAAGTGGAAAAACATACCTTGCTCATGGATAGGAAGATTCAACATTGTGAAAATGTCAATTCTACCCAAAGCAATCTACAGATACAATGCAATCCCAATCCAAATTGCAATGACATTTTTTTAATGAGATGGAGAAACAAATCACCAACTTCATATGGAAAAGGAAGAGGCCCAGGATAAGTAAAGCATTACTCAAGAAGAAGAACAAAATGGGAGGCCTCATACTACCTGATTTTAGAGCCTATTATACCACCATGGTAGTCCAAACAGCCTAGTACTGGTGCAACAACAGATATACATAGACCAATGGAACAGAATTGAGAAATCAGACGTAAATTCATCTACCTACGAGCAGCTGATATTTGACAAAGGCCCAAAGTTCATTAAATGAGGAAAAGACAATCTCTTTAACAAATGGTGCTGGCATAATTTGATATTCATCTGCAAAAAAAAGAAACAAGGCCCATTCCTTACACCACGTACAAAAACTAACTCAAAATGGATCAAAGACCTAAATATAAAATCTAAAACGATAAAGATCATGGAAGAAAAAATAGGGACAACACTAGGAGCCCTAATACATGGCATAAACAGAATACAAAACATAACTAACAATGCACAAACACCAGAAGAGAAACTAGATAACTGGGAGCTCCTAAAAATCAAACACTTATGGTCATCAAAAGACTTCACCAAATGAGTAGAAAGACAAGCTGCAGACTGGGAAAAAATTTTTGGCTACGACAAATCCAATAAGGGTCTAATCTCTAAAATCTACAAGATACTGCAAAACCTCAACAACAAAAAGACAAATAACCCAATTAAAAAATGGGCAAAGGATACGAACAGGCACTTCACCAAAGAAGACATTCAGGCAGCTAATAGACACATGAAGAAATGCTCACGATCATTAGCCATTAGAGAAATGCAAATCAAAACTACAGTGAGATACCATCTCACCCTAACAAGGCTAGTGTTAATCCAAAAAAACACAAAATAATAAATGTTGGGGAGGTTGTGGAGAGACTGGAACACTTATACACTGCTGGTGGGAATGTAAAATGGTACAATCACTTTGGAAATCAATTTGGTGATTCCTTAAAAAGCTAGAAATAGAAGTACCATACGATCCAGCAATCCTGCTCCTTGGAATATATAACTATAAAAATAAGAGCCGTCACACGAATAGATATATGCACACCCATGTTCACTGCAGGGCTGTTCATGATAGCAGAAAGATGGAAACAACCTAGGAGCCCATCAACGGATGAATGGATAAACAAATTATGGTATAGTCACACAATGGAATACTATGCAACGATAAAGAACAATGAAGAATCTGAGAAACATCTCACAACATGGATGAATCTGGAAGGCATTATGCTGAGTGAAATCAGTCAGCGCAAAAGGACAAATACTGTATGAGACCACTATTATAAGCATTCAAGAAAAGGTTTAAACGCAGAAGAAAACATTCTTTGATGGTTATGAGGGTGGGGAGGGAGGGAGAGGGGAATTCACTAACTAGATACCTGTTGCCATTGAGTCGATTCACTAACTAGAGAGTAGACAAGAATCATCTTGGGTGAAGGGAAGGACAACACACAATAGAGGGGAAGTCAGCACAACTGGACTAAACAAAAAGCTAAGAAGTTTCCCGAACACAACCAAACACTTCAAGGGACAGACTAGCAGGGGTTGGGGTCTGGGAACCATGGTTTCGGGGGTCATCTAGGTCAATGGCATAACAACGTTTATTAAAAAAATGTTCTGCATCCCACTTTGGTGAGTGGCGTCTGAGGTCTTAAAAGCTTGCAAGCGGCCATCTATGATGCATCAATTGGTCTCAACCCACCTGGAGCAAAGGAGAAGGAAGAATACCAAAGACACAAGGAAAATATTAGCCGAAGAGACAAAAGGGCCACATAAACCAGAGACTCCATCAGCCTGAGACCAGAAGAACTAGATGGTGCCTGACTACCACCAATGATGGCCCTGACAGGGAACACAGCAGAGAGTCCCTGATGGAGCAGGAGAAAAGTGTGGTGCAGAACTCAAATTCCTGTAAAAAGACCAGACTTAATGCTCTGACTGAGATTAGAGGAACCCCAGAAGACATGGCCCCCAGACCCTCTGGTAACCCAGAACTAAAATCATTCCCGAAGCCAACTCTTCAGACAAAGATTAGACTGGACTATAAAACATAGAATAATACTTGTGAAGCGCGTGCTTCTTAGTTCAAGTAGATACACAACACTAAATGGGCAGCTCCTGTCCGGAGGCAGGATGAGAAGGCAGGAAGGGATAGGAGCTGGTTGAATGGACACAGGAAACTTGAGGTGGAAAGGGGGAGTGTGCTGTCACATTATAGGGATAGCAACTAGGGTCACATAACAATATATGTATAAATTTTTGTATGAGAAATTAACTTGAGCTGTAAACTTTCACCTAGAGCACAATAAAAAGTAAATAAAAAGGGGAACTTGATGTAAAAATGGGGCAGAGAGATTTGAAGACGCTGGGCTTGAAGACTAGAGTGATGTAGCCACAAGCCAAGGAATGCCACGAGCCACCAGAAGCTAAAACAGGCAAGTACAGATTCTCCCCCAGAGCCTCCAGAAGGAGTGAGGCCCTGCTGACACCTTGATTTCAGCCCAATAATACTGATTTCAGACTTCTGGCCTTCAGAACTGTGAGACAATAAATTTCTGTTGTTTCAAAATACCAAGTTTGTGGTAATCTGTTATAGCAGCCACAGAAAACGAATATATATGCTGATGAAAAAACTCATCATTATGTAATTATATATTCATTTGGTGACAGGATAATTTATAAAGATACTAATTTGTGTTCCTTCACTCTACACTTTTACCTTCTCCTATTTCAAGTAGATTCATTTGTAATTTCTTACCTTGAACATTTTTGTAAGACTGACCGAGGAAACTGCCTAAAGTGAAAGGCACACTATATTGTGTAGAAGTCCAAGCTCATTGAAGCAATTAAGCTAAGTGCTGTGGTTGGGGTGGGAACAGAGGTGCGGGTGCATAGCCAGGGTATATACAGTATGCCAATGACAGAAAGGATCAAGAGAAAAGAGTCCCAAAGACAGAAAGAGGTTAACGATCAATCCTGCAATTACTGGGGACCTATTCCCACTTTCTTGCGGTACAAATAATGACCAAGAATAAACGTCTTACTGTCCAGTGGGATGGGGGCTTGCAGTCAGATATAAATAGAAATAAAAGTAACAAATCATAAACTGAGGCTCATAGCCTCTATATTGATTCAATGGCAGTCTCCCATGGCAGTTTGCCAACACCATGAGGAGAGGGGACTTATCTTGTTTATATCACAGTGTCCCCACAATCTAGAATTTTCCATGGCCCGTAGGAGATGCTCAATAATATTGTTGATTTTTTGCATAAAGAGAACAAGCGAATGGTTCACTGAGGCCAAGAATCCAAAGATGCTCACAGGACCACAATGATCCACACTGTTGGAATCTCCAAGGGGATCTCTACATATAACACTCCCCCGTCTTCCCTGCCTGGGTTCTGAGCAACTTGAAAAATAATATACAGAGCAAAGACTAAGGCCAAAATATTGTCCATATTATTGGCCGCAGCCATGTAGAGGACATGGCTTTTAGGTCCAAGAGAACTTGCTCACTGAAACCCAGAAGCTGGCAGATTCTTTCCCTCAGCCCCCTAAAAAGAAGGGAGGAACAGAAGAGAATGTGTGCTTCCCATGGGCTGTCTGGCTCCCAAGTAAAAGAAGGGCAGAGTTGACATGAGCGTGCCCAGTTGTTCTCCCCAAATTCACCAGCGGGTAGAGTGATAGAATGGGCTGAGGGGCCAGAAGTGTCACAACAGTGGAGTTCCCCTCACCTAGGAAGAAATGTCAGGTGTGGGGAAGATGTGTCTCCCCCTAACGAACATAAATAACTTAATACAGTGGATTTTCCCTTAATCCACCAACATGTAGGTAACTCACATGACTCACAAAGCTCTACAAGCTCATACCAGACACACGGACTGTGGTCCACACCTCTGTAAATGTTGGTGGTGCTGCGGATAGGGCTGCTCTCTAGATAACCCACACTCTTCAGCTCCCACCAGTGAAGCCATCTGATTTCAAAAGTCAAATGTTTTATTCTGAATCTATTTATGTCAAACATATTTATTATGTTTACAATATTTAATTAAATATTATGTGAATTAAGAAAACAAGAGTGTGATACAAAAGAGAGTTGTTTCCACGAAAATTAAGCTCAATGCTTTGGAAAGGTTCCATGAAGGTGAACTTCTTATTAAATAATTTTCATCATATTAGGTATGGGCAAAAATTATTGTAGAATATTTGTAAAAAATCTCAGATCGACTCTCAAGTGTATCAAAGTCATCTTTCTACTTTAAAGAACTAGAAACTGGAAATCATAGAACATGCATCACTGGTGTGGTTTATACAAAAAGACAAGCAGGAACTCTAAGCAGCAGATCCATACTCAGAGAAAAGGCTTTACATTAAAAGACTAACAAGTGAATGTGAACTAGCAAGTTATGTTTTAGTTATGTTTCAGATCGACCCAGAGGCATCTTGGAAGAAAGACATTAAAATGCTTCAAAGTACTTAAGTTTCATCTTTTTACAATTCCCTGTATTAACTTTCTTTTATTTGTTATTCAACCAACTACCAGTCCCAATTATGTTGAATAAGAGAGCTTCTACCATAGATAATTCAAAGAACCATTTTAGGCTAATTAAAAGGGTTTTCTGCAGTTTTCCAATTGCCAGATAGTTCTTCTGGAGTCATGCAGACACAATGCTTGTTTGCTCCATTGCTGGATAAATCACATCCATCTAAGAAATAAGCGTTAATCACAGTGGAGCCCAGGACTCCTTTCTCTCCTCAAGAACTTAATTACTTTGGTTTCTCTAGATTATTCTAACGATGAGAAGCTTTGGGAAGGTAATTCCTAGAATATTTCACCAGCTGACAGGGATGAGCCAGAAGTTACTAGGATAATACTTACGATCTCGGAGAGACTTCTGTAGAATGTTTGTTTAAACGCTTTGTGGGTTCCTTCATCCTTTTCCTGATGTCCTGACAATAAGCCCATGTGTCCTCCAGCTTCCTGTGAGGATCTAGCACTTCCAGCACCTTCAACAAGAGCTACAAACACAAAATTGCCTTGGAGGGAAGAAAAACAGACTGAAAAAATGGCTTCCCTGAATTCTAATATAGAGTCCCTAGGTGGCACAAATGGTTAAGCAATCAGCTACTAACTGAAAGTTTGGTAGTTCAAATCCACCCAGTAGCACCTTGGAAGAAAGACCTTGTGATCTACTTCTGTTAAGATTATAACCAAGAAAACTCTGCGGAGCAGTTCTACTCTGTAATACATGGGGTTGCTATGAGTTGGAATCAACTCAACAGCAACTGGTAACAGGTTTACCATATGCCAGGTATTGGTGGTACACAGTGTAAGAAAGAGATAAAGTCCTGCCTTCTAGTGCTTTTATCCTAGTAAGGGGCCTGGTGGTGATAAGTGTTATGATGAAAAAATAGAGCATGGTAAGTAAGGAATGGAACATGAGGGTGGAAGAGAAGTGCTATTTTATATTAAAAAAAAAAAAAAAAAAACAGTTGCTGTCAAGTCAGCTCCGACTCATGGCAACCCCATGTGTGTCAGAGTAGAACTGTACTCCATAGACTTTTCAATGGCTGATTTTTCAGAAGCAGATCACCAGGCCTTTCTTCCAAGGCATGTCTTGGTGGACTCAAAGTGCCAGTCTTTTGGTTAGCAGCAAGCATGTTAACTGCCTGCATCACCCAAAACCTAAAAACCAAACCCTTTCTAGTTGAGTCAATTCTGACTCATAGTGACCCTACAGGACAGAGTAGAACTGCCCCATAAGGTTTCCAAGGAGCACCCGGTGGATTCAAACTGCTGACCTTTACCACTACACCACCAAGGTTTCTCCGTCACCCAGGGACTCTGTTATTTTATACAGGTCTCTTCAGTAAGGTGACATTTGTCAAGATTTGAAGGAAGGGAAGGCGCAAGCCAAGCAGATACCTTGGGGCAAGTGTCCCAGACTCAAGAACAAGTACAGAAGGCTGAAGCAGGACATACGGGTAATGGTCTCAGAACAGTCAGGGGGCAAGAGGCTGGAATGGAGTGAGTGAGGTTGGAGGAGTAGGTGGTGAGTTTGGAGAGAAAGCAGAGCAGGAGCAGGGCCGAGAGCAGAGCCTGAGGGGCCTTTCAGATGCAACAAGAACTCTGGCGTTACTCTGAGTGAGAAGGGGCCACTGGAGGGCTTCGAACAGAGGAGGGACATGATAGGATGACTTTCTGAATGACTGCAGAGCTCTCTGTGTAGGGAACAGGCTGTGGAATAGAGGGTGGGGTAGAAGGCACTGCTACTTGCCTGCCCAATATCCATTCTGCCCTTCTTCCTTAATTCAACAGAACCTGGATTTTGTTCAAGCTGCAATGCCCAATTAAGAAACTCAATTTTCTGGACTCCCTAGTAGTCAGATGGATGAGATGTAAGGAGAAGTCTCCTGGGAAAGCTATTATTTACCTAATCAGAAGGACAGAGTTAGCTGGCATGCACCCTTTAACCTTTGTCCCTTCCCTTGCTTGAAACACAGACTTGATGCCTGGAGATGCAGAAGACATCTTGAGACCACAGGAGAAGAGACATGTGCTAAGGATGATGGAGCAGAAAGTCAGAAGAAGCCTGGGAGACTGGTGCTATAATGGAGCAGCTGCCCAATCCCAGCCTGAATTTGGTGGGCTTCCCCTAACCAGTAAAACTAAGTGTTATCAAGTTGATTCCAACTCATGGTGACCGAATGTGTGGCAGAGTAGAACTGCTCCATAGGGTTTTCATGGCAGTGACCTTTCAGAAGCAGATTACCAGACCCTTCTTTCCAGATGCCTCTGGGTGGGTTCGAACCACCCAACCTTTTGGCTTATGGTCCAGCACTTGACCATTAGCGCCACCCAGGCCTCCACTCAGGACTTTGCCTGTGACCTCCCATTTTGTCATATGCCTTCTATCCACCAGTCAGCACATACTTATGAAACCTCCTAACACCAAGCTAAAGCGTCAAAAGTAAGACTGAACAATTTCCCCCATCCTTTCAAGGCACCAGTAAAGCCCCTCCCACAAACCTAGAACAGGACATTACCTCTACAGGTATATCTTCTTCCAGATTCGGGTAGAGGGCCAAGGGATGCCTGGCCAGGCGGGCTTCGATGTCCTCAATAAATGCCTTCCGTGCTTGCTGGGCTGGTGAGAGCTTGGGAAACACAGCTGCTTCCTTGGGCAGCTTGTTCTGCCTCGTCTTTGGGGCAGGTAGGGGAACTCGGTGATAAATCAGGGGAAGAAAGCCTTCCCGAGGGCCCTTTGTGATCAGACCTTGGCAAGGGGGACAACCTTTCCTGAAGTCGTCCAGCCCCTTCCTCACAAATATCCATTGCCGGCTGTTCAGGGAAGTATTCTTGTGCTTGTGCCTGTTCTTGTGCTTTGTGAAACACCTGGAAGGGAGATTCTCTTTGAACCTGGAAGAGAACATGCCTGGTCATATGGACTGAAAGGACTGGGGTGGGAGGAGGAGATAGTATGAGGCTAGCTGCCACCATTTTTTTTGGGGGGGGGAGAGGGGGGAGGGGGGAGTCAGGGAAGAAGACTCCATATAAAGAGGGTTGAGTTAACCACGCTCCTAGTTCATGGCATATTATCACTGGTCTGTGCAAAGCCCCTCTCCTGTCTTATTTATTCTGTCTTACCTCCATATCCCAAAGTCCCTGGGTGTCACAAACAATTTAATGTGCTTGGCTGCTAATCAAATGGTTGGAGGTTCTCATAAATAGCCCAAAGAATCAGCATAGGCAAAAAGCCTGGTGCTTTTGCCCCTTGGCTGTGACACCAAAATGGCAACAGACCTCCCAGGTACCTGAAGCACTCCCTCAAACACCGCTCAGCTTGGCAAAAGTGACCAGCTGGATGACTAAAGGCTCCACGTGCATCAGACCTTCAAATTGGATCCAGGGGTCCAGGTGCCCCGGGCTCAGGGGCAGATTATCAAATAGGCAAGGTAAGCACGGTGCTCACCTTGCTTATCAGATCATCTGTAGTGAACAATTTCACATTTTTTCACATCAAAGATTCTGCTTCTAGGTATTCCTGGCATCTGTCTCTCTCCCAATCCCACAGCACCTTCCTACAAAATCAAAGCCTCTTTTCAAATTTACAATCCCTGACAGGGACTGATGACCCAGTCAAGAAGGTAAGAACAGGCTTACTTGTGCTTACTCCCTAGTCTGTAGTGACCGATTTCACCTGTTTTTCATCTGGGTTTCATCTGAAAAACAGGTGAAATCGGTCACTACAGATTAGGAAGTAAGCACAAGTAAGCCCGTGTTTACCTTGCTTATTAGGTAATCCCCTTCTGCCCAGATTGTCTGGTGGAACAGACCGCTAACCAAAGGAAAACCCGAGTGGATCTAGGCAAAAGACCTCAGAGTCCTCAGCTAAGCCAGCCTCCACAGTTGACTCTGGCCATCAGCTTCTTATCTTGAATGGAAGTGTTGTGAGAATAGCAGAAGAAAGGTCTTTTGGGCTGAGGAGCGTCTTGCGCTGTTATTTTATATTACATCTAATTATATAAGTGGATGGCGCATTAAGGAGGAAAGGCGGGCGAGACCTCCTGCCGAGTCTTCCAGGGCGTGGGGCTTGGGGGTGGGGAGGTTGCGCCACTACACGGGATCCATGCGCCCCCATGCGGCACCCGTGGGGTACGTCCTCGGCCCTGCGCGGCTCGCTTACCAGGGCCTGCAGTTCACGCCCACGGGCAGCGGGTCCTGCCCCACGGGCCGGAACATCCGCCGATGGGCCGCCATGGTGTCCCTGGGTCCCGCGCGACGGCCTGGGCTTGGGTGGTTTGTGTTCCCAGCTGGCCGGTCCGGTCGCTAGGAGACCGCGTAGCCACGCGCAGCCCTGCATCTCCCCGGGCGCGGGCCGCTCCTGTGCGCGCCCTCGCACAGCCCCAACCAGGACCTAGCTCTTGCCTTTCCCGACGGCGGTGGATCGCGGCTGGGCATGTGAAAAGGACCCGGTCCTTGGTTTAATTATCTTTTAATCTTTTGTGAAGGGGTGTTCATCTTCTTCCCACTGAAACTCAACTGTAGGATGAGCCACACCTTTTTTGCTCACTACCTTTTTTTTTTTTTTTAATGTTGAAGGAATGAAGAGAAAGCAGAGGGAGAGAGAAAGAAATAGCAAGAGACAGAAAAAAGAAAAGGAATAGACTGAATTCTAAATGGCAAGAAAGCCTTTTAGCACAGATTTGTTTTCCTGGAGGTCCTGGAACTCCCTGGGCCTCATCACTTCCGTAAATTGAAGATGGGAGATTTGTATCTAGTCCCCAGCAGATTTCCAGAGTCCCTTCCAGCTCGTGTGGTATTTGATTCTTTTGCCTCGACCCATTTCTAACAATTAAATGAGAGCGACACTGTCCCATGGTTACCTTACAGCTGGCCTGGGTAGGCAGGTGCACGCGTAATAGGATTGCATGAAGTTGTGGTTTGGAAATTCTCCTGCTACTTCTGAGTGACCCTGATTTAAATATAAGCATTGCTTCCCGAGGAAACAGCAGCATGGCATTCTCTTGTCCCAAAATTATTGCAGTAGTTAAAATATGACTGCTATACCAAAACCAAACCAAACCCATTGCCATGAGTAGATTCCAACTCAGCGACCCTATAGGACATAGTGGAACTGCCCCCATAGGGTTTTCTAGGTGCAGCTGGTAGATTCGAACTGCCTACCTTTTGGTTAGCAGCCAAACGCTTAACCAACGTGCCACCAGGCCTCCATGACTGCTATGGTGGGATCATTTTTGTAGTCAGCGATAATCACATTTTCAAACTCTCTGCAAATAAATTAGCTTCATATTTGCAAATCTATTAAATATCTGGTTATCATCAAACCCTGACAGTGCTAGTTCCAGCATCTTCACATTTGCTGTGTGCATTCAGCCATCTATTCTGTTGCACAGTGGAGAGCCCTGTAGTTGCATCTTGTCTCTGCCACTTAATAATTATGCAGTCCTGGGCAAGTAACTTAAGCTTTTGTGGCTTCATTGATTTCCTGCTTTCAAAATGAGGAAAATAATAGTATCCGCCTGCAAGTCTCCTGCAAAAGACCTCTTCAACATTTTAAAAAGCAAAGATGTCACTTTGATGACTATGGTGCACCTGACCTAAGCCATGGCCTTTTCAATCGCCTGATATGCATGTGCAAGCTGGAAAATGAAAAGGTAGAAGAGAACTGATGCCTTCAACCTGTGGCATTGGGGAAGAATAATGAATATACCGTGGACTGGCAGAGGAATGAACAAGGAAGTGTTGGAGGAAGTACCACCAGGATGCTCCTTAAAAGTGACAATGTTGAAACTTCTTGCTTACTTTGGACATGCCATCAGAAAATACAAATTGCTGGAGAATGATATCATGTTTTGTAAAGTAGAGGGTCAGCAGAAAGGAGGAAAACCCTCAATGAGATGGATTGACAACAACAGCTGCAACAATGGGCTCAAACATATCAACAGTTGTGAGGATGGTGCAGGACTGGGCAACATTTTGTTCTCTTATACATAAAGTCACCATGAATTGGAACTGATTCAGTTTGTATTCCATCAATTCCTGGAGCCTTGTTTTTTGCCAATGCCTCTTAGTACAGTTTGGACTTCTTGCTTCAGTACCATCATTTCCTCCTGAAATTGTTGAACGTCAACCAATTTTTTTTGGTACAATCACTGTATTCCGTCCATCTTCTTTTGATGCTTCCTGTGTCATTCAATTTTTTGCCCATAGACTCTTTCGATATTGCATCTCGAGGCTTAAATTTTTGATTCAGTTCTTTCAGCTTGAGAAATGCTGAGTGTATTCTTCCCTTTTGGTTTTCTAACTTCAGATCTTTGCACATTTTGCTATAATACTTTACTTTGTCTTCTTGAGCCACCCTTTGAAATCTTCTGTTCAGCTCTTTTACTCCATTTCTTCCTTTCCATTTAGCTACTCTGCATTCAAAAGCAAGTTTCAGAGTCTCCTCTGACATCCATTTTGGTCTTTTTTTTTTTTTTTTTTTTTTTTGTCTCTTTAATGACCTTTTGCTTTCTTCATGTATGATGTCTTTGATGTCATTCCACAACTTGCTTGGTCTTTGGCCATTAGTGCAATGGGTCAAATCTATTCTTGAGATGGTCTCTAAATTCAGGTAAATTAGAAGCAACAGTCTAGATATACACTTAGCAACACAGACTTTTTAAAATGTGGTGATCAGTGAAAAAAGGAACTGAATGAGATTTATACTACAATGTCATTTATGTAAATTTAAAATGCATGTACATAAAACAACAATATACATTTTACAAGAACTCATATGGAGGGAAGGATTTGCTTCAAACACATAAGAACGATTGCCAGTGGAAAGGGCAGAGGAATGGTAGGAGAATGGGAACGAAAAGAAATGGATAATGAATAATGAGAGGGGGCTTGTAAATGATAATGGAGTGTCATGAATTAAAGGATAAGATTAGCCAGTGATCTGATTCTGAAGTGGAGAAAAAAAAAGTTACTAGGTGGCACTGAGACATAACTTCAAAGAACAAATTGTAGGTTGTGGAATGCTGAAACAATACCTTCTTCAAAGCCAAGATAGTTTGCAGTAATAAGAACAAAAATATGCAGCAGCTGGTGAGGTAAGGAGCCAGAGCTACAGTGACAGATACTGGATAGAGCAGGCCATTGGCAAATTTATGTGAACTTAGCTTGAAGAGGATTCTAGGCCTCATGCTTTCTTGTCAGCTGTACTCAGATGTGAATAGAGATTATTCTTTGGAGTCTCGTGTCTGAATATAGATGATACCAAAAATCCTGCTTCGGGCTTTCAAGGGTCACCTATGGCCTCAAAGGATGAGCTGCTTTCCTGAGTAGGGCTCAGATTATGATCAATATATGCATTGAAAGAATTCCACATAGGAACATTTGATGTGTCTTCAGGAGGATGGGAATTCCCACCAGAGTAGTTAAAATAGGACAATGCTGCTGTTGTTGTGTGCCATCAAGTCGATTCTGACTCAAAGCAACTCTACAGGACAGAGTAGAACTGCCTCATAGGGTTTCCTAGGCCATATAGCGTCACTATGAGTTGGAATCGACTCAACGGCAACGAGTCAGGTTCGGTTCGGAGTCTTTACAGGAGCAGATGGCCTGATCTTTTCTCCTGCACAGCAGCTGGTAGGTTCAAACCTACAACTTTTCGGTTAGCAGCCACGCTCTTTACCATTGAGCCACCAGGGCTCCTTAAATAAGACACTAAGAGAAATGAAATAGTTAACAATGGCACTAGATTTGCTTTCTCTTGTTTTTATTTCTAGAATTGATACGATTTTCTTGGTCTAGAATCATTCGAATTGTACAAGATTCTTTACGTGTAAGATGTTGTAAAGAAACCTTCGTAAAAATACTTGAAAAATAATCATATGTACAGGCCCCAATCTTATAAATAATACCAGTTAAAAACCATACCGTATCTTTAATCTATTAAGCATAAAGTGAATGTTATTATTCTCATTTTACAAGTGGAGAAGTTAAAATGCGTTATATCCATTAATTCTGGTGTTACTCCAAACATAATGTTTAACATATTTGATGGTGTTTATTTGGGCCTTTTCATAATTGTACATTAATTTATGTTAAGTTGAACTGAATCTTTGTTTCCATAGGTTGCGAAGTCAAAGAAGCCATTCAAATAAAACAGGAATGCATTAGTAGATTATTAGACTCATTACACTTGTGTTTAATGACACAAGGAAATTAAGATAATCACCCAAGCTCATGCAAACAGAGGGGAAACACATCTTAACCCAGAGTTCCTCCCCTGAGTCACCTAGAAAAATTTTGAATCATAAATCAAGCCAAAGAGACAATATAGTGGCTAAGACCAGTCTGGGTTTGAATCACAGCCCTACCACTTAACTAATGCTGGACAAGTTACCTGACGTGGCTACATCTCGGCAGTGTCTTCTTCAGTAAAATGGACCTAATAATAGTCTGTGCTATAAGGTTGATATGGGGATGTCATATGGAGATTATCAAAACCTGCTCTCCGATAGAACTATAATGCAAACCACAAAGGTGAGCCACTTAAGTAATTTTAAATTTTCTAGTAGTCATATTGGAAACTGTGGTGGTGTAGCGCTTAAGAGCTACAGCTGCTAACAAAAAGGTCGACAGTTTGAATCCACCAGCTGCTCCTTGGAAACTCTATGGGGCACTTCTACTCTGTCCTATAGGGTCACTATGAGTACTATGAGTCGGAATCAACTCGACGGCAACAGGTTTGGTTTTTTCGTTTCAGTAGCCATATTTTAAAAAGTAAAGAGAAACACATAAAATTAATTTTAATAATGTATTCTATTTAAACCAATATATCTAAAATATTATGATTTCAATATGTAATCAACAAAAATTATTAATGAGATATATTACATTCTTGTTCATACTAATTTTTTGAAATCCGGTGTGTATTTTACTTTCAGCACATCTCAATTTGGACTAGCCACATTTTAAGTATTCAATAGCCACACGTGGCTACTGGCTTCCATATTGCACAACACGAATATAAAGTGTTTTAATCAGGTGCCTAGCACAAAGGAAGTACTCAAGAAATATTAGTTCAAAAACATTCCATGGGTTTAACCATAGGTTGTTTGCATTCCTTACTATATTTTTATAAGCATAGAAAATGTTTGTTAGCAACACAAGCTTGCAATCACATACAGGTCACATGCTTCCTCTATCAGTTCTTGTTCTGTTTACTCTGGGCAATAAGATGT